CTATGTCTGCCCCTCCGAAGTCCCACGGTGAACACAGTTGCCGAGCGATGAGTGCAGCCCCGATATTGTGTGGCTAAACTATTAGGTCGTGGCTATACTAATAAATTGAGTCATAAGTAATTGCCGATTTCTTCATATCCACGCCATCTTCCCAAACGATGTTTGTGTTGTTCCCCGCAAAAGACTGACTGTGGCCACCTTAGTGTTTTTCATGTTACGAAATTCGACCGCAAGAAAAGGCGACTACGGCCCTGAAGACCAACCACGTTTCGGACACCCAATGACCGTAGATATTGAACGCATGCAAGAGCTTCTTGAAGGCAACCCGGCACAGTGACCGTCAAACTGCAGTAGACCTTCAGTCCTCCCAGTGCACCATGTGTCGTTCCCTCTGAGCCATGGAGAAATTGTACACGCTGGGAAGATGGAATTCTCACGAGTTGGACGAGGTGGCTCGAAGGACACGTGTGATCATCTCACAAAGTTTGCTGCATAAAAGCCGTTGTTTCGATCGGCTTGACAAGGGTCACTGGGGTTGAGGAGTGCGCAGTCTAGCCAAGCAACCTACGGAGGCATCAGTGGGAACGTGCAGCTCAGCAGCGACAACGAGCCCCAATAGGTGAACTTCACCCGGAGTAGGTTCCGCTCTCCGATTGTAGGATTGCTTCATTACAGACTTCAAACAATACCACCACTGCTGGCGCAGACACCTACTGCTTACAGCTGGATAAACTTGCTTCGGATATCGCAAAGTTGAGGCTTCCAATACATGAAATTGTTCCACTGCGCAGCAGCTCGCAACCCACACGAAACGAGGGAATGCCAGAATACTATACAGAAACTTGGCCTCATGATTTTCCCCGCTCTTTATAATCCACTGAGGTATAGCAACCAATCACCAGTTGTTCGCTTGCTTGCTCGTTTCCTTAACGAGAAAAACTACAAACTCGCGAACACCTCAAAACCGACATCCTCCGATTACTGTCGTCGAAGATCGTTTAGTTATGTGAGAGCGGTGCCCTTTTACTGGCGTAAAACAGAGGATACTTGTAGACTGC